AATTTTTGTAGGGTAGCTTTATTCCTTCTACCAAGTATTGGACGATTCTCGATGCATGTGGGTGACCCCTTATGCACGTGCCACGTGCAAAACGAAGAGGTGTCACTTTTGTAATATAGTTGCAATATCTCGGTAACTACTGGGCCGATTGCGCTGAAAGTTGGCATGTAGGTAGGCACCCACTAGGTAATGCATATCCATGTGCCAGAGTTGGGGTGCTGCTGCACGTGCGCACGTGCAGGGGTCGTTTCCAGATCTCGAGAACGGCTGGACTGATTGCGCTCAAATTTGGTACACGGTTAGGAACCAGTTAGTAGGGTGCCGTGCACAAGTCAGTTGGGACCCATTTTGCACGTGCGCACGTGCAGGGCGCCGCTTCCAGATCTCGAGAACGGCTGGGCCGATTGTGCTCAAATTTGGCACATCGCTGGAGACCGGTTAGTAGGGTGCCGTGCACAAGTCAGTTGGAGGCACCCCCTCGAAATTTTGCACGTGCAACGCCCACCCTCTCGATCGCTCCGTTAGTCGCCCCAAAAGGCGTTATACTGGTTAGGTTAGGTTGAGAGTGGATTATTATTTTATATCAAATATGACCTGTTTCCGTATACCTATAGAGACGCCGAGAAAAGGGTTGAATCAATTCTTGGTTCAGTTGTCCACTGATTCAGCTGTCCACTGGATTTGCTGTCCATTGGTTCAGTTGTCCACTGGTTCACTTGTCATTGGTTCAGCCACGGAATATACAGGGTGATTTTACTTACAGGGCAAAAAGTTTTCTAGCCTAGAGGTACCGAAACATATAACAAACGCGGAAAAATATATCCACGTGAAAGAAAATTGTTTGTCATTTTGTTTTCAGGACCTTTTAGAGACTTCTTGGGACTCATGCTGTAATGAAAGTTTCCTGAAAATGGCACCCAAAAAATGTTCTCCCCGAAATCGCCATTTATTCCAGAGCAACGACGCTGGGTTTGCTCGAGTATGGAGCCGCGAGAAACATCACCATATACTCTCAGGCAAAACTTCCGCACCCGATTTGAGAAAACGCCACATAAGGTTCTTCCAGGAAGTTATTCCAGAGATTTGTTGAGCGTATTTGTCCCTCCTACCGAAAAAGACTGCTGGCTGAAAAGCCATCTCGGAGCTGACTGTCGCCCGGCGCACCCTCACTTCGAGCACGCTCTGTAAGCCTAAACAGAGCTCAAACCTAAAGTTTCTGTGAGCAGATGAAATGTCAGAATGTGCTCATTACAAAAACATATATTTTATGGCAGTTGATGTGTTTTCTGGTACCGCCATTGCTCTTTACTTATTGCCCTGAATAAAAAATCACCCTGTATAGTCTACGACAGATGTCGTAGACTATATATATCCTTCCAGTGGTTCAGCTGTTCACTGGCTCAGTTGTCATTGGTTCAGCTGTGACTGGTTCAGTTGTCATTGGTTCAGCTGTCACTGGTTTACTTGCCACTGTTTAGTTGTCATGGACACTGGCGGATCCAGGCTTGCGTTTGGGGGGGGGGGGGCAACTCATGCAGGAGCCAAACCTAGGGTACCCCCAAATCCTGTTTTCTCATCGGATTTAGGCCACTTATTTTTCGTCACAGCCCTGACACTATGAATTTTTTTTTTAACTGAAAAGAAAAATATATAAATGGTAGCCCACCCGACCCATGCCTTTATATTACTTTGTAAACACTTACCATTGTTTTTATCGACCAGTTAAAGGGACCCTCCCACCTTAACATTAGATTTGAGCTGAGATAGCCAAAATGGGGTCCCTGGCTCACAATTACCGGTTTCGGCACGCACTCACAACATCGAGAAATGCCTTAAATCGGAAATATTGAATTTCAAAATTGCAGCATTTTGATTCAGAGGGGCTAATGCTTTTGGATACCCCTCTGAATGTGTGACGTCAGCGGAGATCTAATGATTTTTTAATATTTTACTAAAACGTTTGGTAGCATGCGGTGGTATAGGCTGCTTTGCGCGCAACAAATGCCGCACTTTCAAATAAAGTCGCTAGGAACAGCAGCGGATATCCCAAAAAGTAAACAAAAACAAAAGTCTAATCTCTTGAAAACCGGTGAATATTTTTCGATAAAATTTGGTAGATATTCGTTTTCGCCCTTTCTGAACCTAGCGACATCACTTTCATGCCAATTCATTAACTTTTTTGAAGGTGGGAGGGTCTCTTTAACCCGCTTCGAGTCAGTGCTTGGGTCCCTTTGCGGGCCGGAGGTGGTAAAACAGCCCTGTCTAACTCGGCTCCTGGGCCACGCCCTGATTGAACTATGTTTCATTATCGTTTGGGGGAGGGGGAAAACGGGCCACTTTAGACCTCTGGGAAGGGGGCATGGCCCTAAATGCCCCCTCCCTGGATCGGCCAGTGTAAGAAGAGACCATTGGAGCTGCAGTTGGGTACCTCAGACATCAGGGTACGCCCTCAGATGTATGTATAGGACTCGCATGGAGACCTCTTATGCTATAGTGTACTGAAAGGACCCAAAGGAGCCTGTATATATGGGCTCCCGGAGATAGACGTGGGCCCTCAGGAGCCCGCCAGAGCCCCAATGAGGGATAAGTGAGGGATACCAAGTGCCTGCAATTGCATATTGCATAAGCCATAACGCCTTTACAAATCAATATATTATGCATCAGTGGCAGATCCAAGGGGGGCCACATGGGTCATGACCCCCTTGGTGCCCGGGGGCACCACAGGCCTGTCAGGGGCACCACCGGCCTAGTAGGGGCACCACCGGCCCGCCAGGGGCACCACAGGCCTAGCAAGGGCACCACGGGCCTGTGAGGGGCCCCACAGGCTTGTCAGGGGCACCCCAGGTCTGTCAGGGACACCAGAGACCTGCCAGGGGCGCCGCCGGCCTCGCAGGGGCACCATGGGCCTGTCAGGGACACCAGAGGCCTAGCAGGGGTACCACAGGCCTTACAGGGGCACCACCGGCCTTGCAGGGGCACCTTGGACCTGTCAGGGGCACCACAGTCCTGTCAGGGCCCAGGGGCACCAGCGGCCTAGCAGGGGCACCACAGGCCTGCCAGGGGCACCACTGGTCTAGCAGGGGCACCATGGGCCTGTCAGGGGCCCCACCGGCCTCGCAGGGGGCACCACCGGCCTCGCAGGCATCACGGCATCACGCAGGGGCACCTTGGGCCTGTCGGGGGCATCACGGGCCTGTTGGGGGCACTTTAGGCTTGTCAGGGGCACCACAGTCCTGTCAGGTCCCAGGGGCATCAGCAGCCTAGCAGGGGCACCCTAGGCCCGCCAGAGGTACAGCCCACCGCTAAAGTAATGTAGGGTTTTACCAAACTCAACGGTTGGCTTTGACTGGCGATTGTTTAATGCGAAGTGATTGAAAAGAAGATGTCAATAGCTAAAGTTGCAGCTGCAAGGGTGACGATACATATAAGCTACATACATTCAAAGTTTCATTGTAGTCTGGCTAATCGTTCCTAAGCTTCAGAAGCAGAACATACCCATGACTGAAACCCCACATTACTTCTGCTGTGGACTGTACCACGGGCCTGCCAGGGTCCAGGGGCACCACAGGCCTAGCAAGGGCACCACGGGCCTGTCAGGGGCACCTCAGGCTCCCGTGCCCCCCCCCTCCCCCCCAGATCCGCCAGTGATGCCACACCACGCGAAACACCGCCAACTACCAGCTGCCGCGCCATAAACACGTGCCAACAACAGTCTTTTTTTTTAAGGTCGACTCCGCTCGCGCAACTTTTGACTGACCCTCACTGCTACTATATTGCTTCTATATTATGCTGTGGAAAGCTTTACTTCACCAAGTGGCTAAAAACCTCCATCAAGGTATATTTTCTTAGCAATTTTTCTGGCGTTTTTTTTTTGGGGGGGGGGGGCAAACAGGCCACTTTAGGCCTTTGGGGGGGGGGGCATGGCCCCCGTGGCCCCCCTGGATCCGCCAGTGGTCATGGAATAAGTTTTAGTGCCTCGCCAATTATCCCACCCTGTTATTATCTATTCCAATCTGTCCCACCAATTATTAATTATGCGACTCGATATTTTGCGACTTCGATATTTTGCGCCTTCGATATTTTGTTTTCGATAAGTTGCGTTGGATATTTTGCGATTCGATACTTTGCGTTTCGATATTTTGTCATGGAATCGTTCAAGTTCAAACACCCCCTCCCCCGGCCCGGCGCGGGTCAACTGAAGGTGTGGTCATGATCAAGTGAAAAAGGTGAATGGTCAGAAACTTTTTTCAAATTAAAAAAGTCATTGGATGATATTGTCATTGGCACCATCATATTGCTGCCTCTTTTGTATACGACGTCTAAGCCGTGGTGAAAATGCATTTGAAATATTGAAAATGTTTAACAGTCGACTACAACTCTGTCGGAGGTATTCTCTATGGAGCTGTGTGCTGAGTGGCGCATGTTTGCCCTGACCTGTATTTCCGACTGTTTGTGTGAGTTGCCTGGAGAGCGGAGCGGGCAGTGTCCGATGGGAACCGGACCTGCTGCCGGTCGATGGCGGGGCTCGCGGTGTGTGATGGACATACCGACGACCAACGAGCTAATCAGTGATTCAGCGAACACAAAGAGGAGTTTGATGAGCATACACCATAGTGTTAGTACGCATTCTGCAGGCCCGAACAGTGCATCTTGCAAGCACAAGCAATATCAGGTACGACACCATTACCAACCTGTAGGATGAACTGAAATTGCGGTTTTCATCGACACTGGAAACAACTAAAACTACCGGGCCGCCTGCTCTCATCAAGGGCTTATGTTCACGATACAACAGCGCACCCAGCTGCATGCATTCGCAACGGCGCAAGCATGCATATATTCACGTGCGAATAAATGTGGGGACTGTTGACGAGGGTCGCCGAGCAGCACTCGTAGTTCCGCCGATCCTGTGCTCGGGCCGTGGGAGCGACGAGTCGCCGCTGGCGCGGAGCGTCTCCCGCGCGCCACGGCGACCGATCAACACGGCGTGCTCTGTCGGTCCGGCCGGCCGGGGTGGGCGCGCGGCGCGGCTCAGAGGGTCAGCCGCCGCCGGCCGACACGTCCACCGGGTCTCCAGCAGCCATGGCCGGCACTCGGCCGTCCCTGGCCCTGCTGCTGCTCGCTGTTCTGATCTGCATAGGAGTTAACGGTGAGTATAGGATATAGGAATCAAGCGTGCGGACACGCCCTGGTGGCCTTTCCCAAAATTATGTCGTGGATTATTTAACCCGCGCCCCACTGGGGGGGGGGGAGGGCTATTCATAGCCCCTCCCGTTTTTCTGCAATGACTTCCACACCGCTTGACGTATCGACGCCAAACTTTCAGTACCTTCGGCTGCATCAATTTGACACCTTGTGTCAAAATATGAACTTCGTAGCTACCATCGGTCGGCCGGAAATGACGTCAGAGTGACGTCATGTTCGGCCGATTTCGACGCAGAACATTGAACCACGGCAATCGCTCCCAAGAGCGATTGAGCGAGAGTTTTTAAGCTAGATCCAATTTCTTTGCTTAAAAGGACTCAGAATAGACTGCGTATCAAACTGCTATCTCGGATTTTCAAAAGTTTGAAAATTTCGAGAAAAAATTATACCTATAATAAAATTCAAAATTTACCTATACCTATTTTCATATTTTTTTCAAAAAGTCTTTTCGAAAAAAAAAACCGGAACCGGGAACATATGTGATAGAAAACATTCCTTATGACTTACTCTAGCAAGTTTAAGCTAAATATCTTCAAAAATGGCTAAGTTATACGCATTATTGCAAAAAATCACAATTATTAATTTTTCAAATCAATTTTTCAGTACGTTTTTGACATCGTAGAGCAATATAAGTAGCACGATCGTGTTCCTGAGCTCAAACTGCATCCAATAGACACCTTTTCTGTTGAAAAATTATAACTTCAAAATTTGACCTTTTTTGACCTGAAAGTGACCTGACCTAAGCCAAATTCGACTCAAAATGATCTCGAATGACTCAGACGACATCAAACTCGAAATCAATGGCCTAAATGGACCATAAAACATGTGTCACGTGACCGACGCATGATATAATATTTCCGTGACCTATGATAGGTAGCCTGACACTGACCTGAAAATCAAAGTACAAGTTTGGTACCCTCAGGGTATTTAAGCATCTTTTTACGAGTGTGTAAACCAGAAATGAGCCTGATCTGACTTGTAAGACGGCGGCCAGAGCCCAAAATGTGAATAAGCCAAAATGCTAATAACTTTTACTTTGACCTGACCTGTGACGTCATCGGTGACCTCGAGGTCAATGAAATTAGTTTTCGTTGGACAGTTTTTTTCCGGGGCTATAAATCGCCGTTTAAATTTTGACGATCGGCCCAGTAGTTTCGGAGTTAGGGGGGGGGGCTATGAAGAGCCCCCCCCCCCCCAGTAGGGCGTGTTATACGCAGACCCCAGTGGGGCGCGGGTTAACCTGCGATATCTTCTACACCAATTTGGAGTATTCCGTAAAATTTGAGACAATTTATTCACAAGCTTTTCGACATTCCGATCCTACTGACTTCCGTCACTATAACAAGACATTTTTTACTAAAAAGGTATACGTTTGAAGTCACTTAACGCTCGCAGTTATAGGGGAGGGGTCAAACTGACCGACCCCTCGGTTTGTCGCAAATAACTCGCGCAAAAAGCGACCGATTGCGACGAAACTTTCAGTAAGCTCGAGTTAACTAATTTGACACCTAATCTAACAAAAAAAAAAAAAAAAAAATCATGTCCCGGACCAAAATGACATTTCACCTGTGACCGATTTCTCGAGACCATGCTTGGCCGCAATCGCGATTCGGCGTGAGTCGGCCCGCATTATCCGCTCGGTTGCAGTCTTTTTGTCGTTGCCCTCACCGGTTGCCACCCCAAGTTATTTTTCTGTTCTGCACTAAACATTTTCAAAGCTAGAAGCCTGATCTTCGTGTAGCTGCTGCTGCTTCTTTATCCTTTCTGAGCGTCCACTAAAAACTTCGGGTTTCTAATGTTTTTGTTTTCGGAGATATGACCTTGTTCTTCAGGTCATGTCATGACCCAAGTGACCAATACCCAATATTTTGCGTCGGCTATGGGTCTTGTGAGCTTTTGACACCTTGATTTCGGTATTTTTTGCTAGTCTTACCTCCCACCTGTCATTAAACATGTCGTTCGACGGTGTAAATACATACAGATGTCAGGGTCAAGGTCAAGGTCAACCTAGGCTATCTAAAAACATTGAATTTTAGGCTAGCAGAATTTACTTTTCGTGACGTTTTTTTTACTGCATTTTGGGTAAAAGCTCCTTAGTTCAGAGAACGTTTATTTTCTTTACATTTACTTTTCCTGACGTTTTTTTACTGCATTTTTGGTAAAACACCTCAGTTCAGAGAGAGAGAGAGAGAGAGAGAGAGAGAGAGAGAGAGAGAGAGAGAGAGAGAGAGAGAGAGAGAGAGAGAGAGAGAGAGAGAGAGAGAGAGAGAGGGAGAGAGAGAGAGAGAGAGAGAGAGGGAGAGGGAGAGGGAGAGGGAGAGGGAGAGGGAGAGGGAGAGGGAGAGGGAGAGGGAGAGGGAGGGGGAGGGGGAGGGGGAGGGAGGGGGAGGGAGAGGGAGGGGGAGGGGGAGAGGGAGAGGGAGAGGGAGAGGGAGAGGGAGAGGGAGAGGGAGAGAGAGAGAGAGAGAGAGAGAGATAGAGAGAGAGAGAGAGAGAGAGAGAGAGAGAGAGAGAGAGAGAGAGAGAGAGAGAGAGAGAGAGAGAGAGAGAGAGAGAGAGAGAGAGAGAGAGAGAGAGAGAGAGAGAGAGAGAGAGAGAGAGAGAGAGAGAGAGAGAGAGAGAGAGAGAGAGAGAGAGAGAGAGAGAGAGAGAGAGAGAGAGAGAGAGAGAGAGAGAGAGTTTATTTGTGAATACTACGGCTTCGAGATTAACTCGCACAGCTCGTGCTTGACCAAAACAGTAAGCACGAAGCAGGTAAAAGGTTTGGTGCATATCGCAACAGTCACTTGGTACTCATAATATCCCATGTACTCGTAATAGGGAAACACAAACCAATCGGTGAACACATCAGTATACACACAGACACACACAGACATACAAACACATATCATTGACCTTGACTTAAATCGACCTGAAATGACCACAGCCAGTAAAAACCTAGTCGGATAGTGTGACAAAGAGCTGGCTCTAACTCGGCCAGCTCTTTGTCTTTGGTTCTAACTCGGATTTTACAAAAAAAAACTTAACACTTTTGATACGGCTAACAGCTTTTCTTTTTTCGCCCTGCTTCATCATGCTTTTCTGAAGGACAGATATGTCTATCTATGACCATAGTCTCTCCATAGAGTAACCAAGGTGATGATGAATGCATGATTTTGTATTGTATCGATTCACCGGTTGATTATTACAGGCGAATCGGAAAGTACAAGTTCGTGCGTAACATCAGTCGAAACCGATGGCGATACATCCACCGACACTCTTTGTAGCACCTCAGGAGACGGTGACGGATCACAAGACGGAGACGGAACAGAAGACGGAGACGGAGAAGGCGGAGACGGAGACGGAGAAGGCGGAGACGGAGACGGAGAAGATGGAGACGGAGGGGACGGAGACGGAGAAGATGGAGACGGAGAAGATGGAGACGGAGGGGACGGAGACGGAGAAGATGGAGACGGAGACGGAGAAGACGGAGATGGAGACGGAGAAGACGGATATGAAACACAAGAAGAAGACGGGACAGAAGATGGAGACGGCTCAGGTGGTGACGGAACACAAGACGGAACACAAGACGGAGACGGGTCTGGTGGTGACGGATCACAAGACGGAGACGGGTCTGGTGGTGACGGATCACAAGACGGAGACGAGTCTGGTGGTGATGGGACACAGGATGGAGACGGAACACAAGATGGAGACGGGTCTGGTGGTGACGGATCACAAGACGGAGACGGGTCTGGTGGTGACGGATCACAAGACGGAGACGGGTCTGGTGCTGACGGATCACAAGACGGAGACGGGTCTGGTGGTGACGGATCACAAGACGGAGACGGGTCTGTTGCTGACGGAACACAAGACGGAGACGGGTCTGGTGGTGACGGATCACAAGACGGAGACGGGTCTGGTGGTGACGGATCACAAGACGGAGACGAGTCTGGTGGTGATGGGACACAGGATGGAGACGGATCACAAGACGGAGACGGGTCTGGTGGTGACGGATCACAAGACGGAGACGGGTCTGGTGGTGACGGATCACAAGACGGAGACGGGTCTGGTGGTGACGGATCACAAGACGGAGACGGGTCTGGTGGTGACGGATCACAAGACGGAGACGGATCTGGTGGTGACGGATCACAAGACGGAGACGGATCTGGTGGTGACGGATCACAAGACGGAGACGGGTCTGGTGGTGACGGATCACAAGACGGAGACGGGTCTGGTGGTGACGGATCACAAGACGGAGACGGATCTGGTGGTGACGGAACACAAGACGGAGACGGATCTGGTGGTGACGGATCACAAGACGGAGACGGATCTGGTGGTGACGGATCACAAGACGGAGACGGGGCAGAAGACGGAGACGGTTCTGGTGGTGACTCCGATGAAGCCACAGGGGACGGATCGGCGAGTGACTCGAGAGAGGACTGTACCATCGACTACGGCGACCTATCCGCAAATGCTTCCAGTGTTAACATCACCTGCAGAGAGGTCAATGTAACAGGTGAGCCATTAGTGTGTAGCTGATGATTTTTTTCTTTTTGAGATCACGCCTAACAGTTTGACGGTACTTAAAGTAAAATATTCATATTGTATAGCATACAACTTGTTATCGAATGCTGAATCTTGCGTTTAAACTTATCAGTGATGCTGATCAAATAAGAAAAATAGTCAGACGCTTAACAAACTTGCAGACAAGCTTTGATATCGTTTGAATTAGGTATGCGTTTTTCTCTCATTTACTAGCATACCTAACATATGCGGAGTGGGCATACCTGTTTTATTTGCGATATGTGTTTGTCTATCTATTTGATTCGTTTTTGTTCGGCACGGGAGTGAATGACTTGCAAATGGTTTACGAAATGTCAGTGATGGAGGCTGAGAGAGGGAGAGGGTGTGTGTTCGTGTGCGTGTGAAAACAGGATACTGAGTGCGGGAGTGTGTGTGATGAGATGGACGGGCTGTGATTGTTGTCATCGGTCAGTGATCGAATGTGGAGAAGTGAACATCGATCAGGTATGCATCATTTGTACGCATATGAGGCATACGGCCGCTGTTGAGAATCCGCCAAAACAAACACAGTTCATATGTTACCCTAACAAATAGGCGAATTAATCAGTAAATTGTGCTTGTTTAAAAAAAATGTTTTCCGTTAAATTTACATATAAAGCATACATATTTACATAGGAAGTTTTTCATCCTTCAGCATAAAGATAAATATTGTTACACATTCATTTTAGATGATAAACATCCTTAGCAGCCTTACGGCAGGCAGTTAACAAATTTGATCGAATTGCCATTTAGTTAGGCTTATATAGCTACCTTTTGTATTACTGCATAACTACAACATTTCATCTAATTCTTGTGAACTTATAAAGCCTGCCACCTGCCAGTATGTAGAGCTGACCGACCTTCCTTTCATGCCCCCGGGACTGGAGAGCCGCGTCGCTCGGTAAGAGCCCCGCCGTGGTCGCCTGGGTGCTCGCCCTCACCCTACCGTGGTGTGGCTGCTCGCCGTGCCGTGGCCTGGGTGCTCGCCATGCCGAGAACCACCCCAGACTGCGGCGGCCACGACAGCAGCCGAACAGATTCATCGGACCGACCGATCGGGACCAGCCGAACGCGCCGACCCTCTGTGCCGAGTTGGATGAGTGTTTTGTAGTACGTTTTTATAAGATGTAATGTATGTACAAGTACAATGTGTCATATGCTGCGAGTCAAAAGTATGACAAAATGAAACAAGGTGCTGAACTGCAGACAGCGTGCGCCTGAACATCTATCTCCAAGCATCTTCTGACACTGAAAACCTGCGCAGTATCAGCGGCACACTCATTATCCCACTGGAGCCAGGGTAATCGGCGCTACATCCAGAAACACGGCACATCTACATAAATAGTGTATTGTCTCGTGTTTACATGTCGGTCGCCGACAGCTCGGCAATATTTGGTAGGTGTGTCGGAGCGCGGCGGCCTGTCATCGCCGCGGCTCGGAGCGCGCACGGAGCACAAGCCGACCTACACGCACGGAGCACAGGTCGACCTACAATACTGAGGGCTCGCACACGGGGCGCGAGGGGAGAAAACGGAGGGAGCGGAGGGAAGAAGACGGACGGAGTGTGTGTGATCACTGGGCGGGCGCATCGGCCGGCTGCTCGGCGTCGGCGGCGGCAGCGCCCTCGCCTGCCGACCGGACGGCGGGCCGCAGCAGGTCACGCGCGTCAAAGCCGTCCGTGCAGGTGAAGGTGGGGCAGCAGTCGGGGAACTTCTTGGTGAGGTCCGCCTCGCGCGTGTAGGTGCACTCCTTGACCGTCTTTACCACGCTGGGGCCACAGTCGAACACCTGGCGTCACAGACAGGGCGCCGGGTCAGTGAAACGTCGCAAACACAATGTGTAACATATACGCGCACTGTCCTGTGGATTATCCTAAAACATTCCTCAAATGTGTTACTGCTTCTGTGCTATTCAAAATTACATTCTGATCTACCTTTGAAAGACTTTCAAGCATGCATGTAACAAAAGCTCATGGAAATGCTATCGATAGTGAGGTAAAAAAAAAACAAAAAAAAAACAAGAACACAGTTCTGAGACAGCAGTTAAACTCAGACCCCCCGCTGCCGTAGAGTGTGAGTTACCAGCCCACCCACGTCCCAGCGCCGCCGCCCACCTGCTCGAAGAGGCCGAGCTGACCGTCCTGGTTGATGGGCAGTGCCATGCACTCGGCCATGGCACATACGCCGTTGATGTTCCACGTGTCGTTGACGTTATAGAACTCGTAGTTGTTGTACGAGAAGCAGCGGCCGGGGTAGTCTGCGGGAGAGGGCGGCGGTCAGCCACGGCCAATGGGAGCAGTCCGACACTACCACCAACTAATGTCTAAGACGGGCAGTTTGTGTATTAAGCGACGCATGCGGTCGAACATCACTGTACGCTTCATTATTTGGAGCATCTAGATGTGTTCCACGCCTGTGAAATAAGAGCTGCCTGCTCAGGTTAGATTAGATGGTAACTCTTTTCTTGCATCCTTTCATTTTACGTAGCGCAGCTCTAACGTCATCAAAGTGTAGCTCCCATGCACAATACCCAGTCCCATCTTCACTAGCTTTCCTCTACCACCCGCCTCTCTCTCTCTCTCTCTCTCTCTCTCTCTCTCTCTCTCTCCCTCTCTCTCTCTCTCTCTCTCTCTCTCTCTCTCTCTCTCCGGTCGCCACTCACCCCTGAGCACGTCGGCCGGGATGGTGCGCACGAAGACCTGGCCACTGCCCGGGGTGGGCAGCTTGGCGATCACTTCCTCCAGCTTGGGGTCGGCCGCCGGCGCCTGGGCGCTCACCAGCGCCGACAGGCCCACCGCCACCAGGGTGATGCCGATGCTGCACACGAGGGTCTTCATGGTTCTGTCCTGTCGGCGACGCGCCAGAGGTCAGAGCAGGGCAGGGCAGGGCGGGGTAGGGCAGGACGGGCAGGGCAGGGCAGGGCAGGGCAGGGCAGGGCAGGGCAGGGCAGGGCAGGGCAGGGCAGGGTAGGGCAGGGCAGGGCAGGGCAGGGCAGGGCAGGGCAAGGCAAGCAGGGTAGGACGGGAGGGCAGGGCAGGGTAGGGTAGGACTGATCAGGCCAGGGCAGGGCAGGGCAAGGCAGGGCAGGTCAGGGCGGGACAGGGCAGAGCAGAGTAGGACTGATCAGGCCAGGGCAGGGCAGAGTAGGGCAGGGCAGAGTAGGGCAGGGCAGAGTAGGGCAGGGCAGGGCAGGGCAGGGCAGGGCAGATCAGGGCGGGCAGGGCAGGGCAGGACGGGCAGGACGGGCAGGGCAGGGCAGGACGGGCAGGACGGGCAGGGCAGGGCAGGGCAGGGCAGGGCAAGGCAAGGCAGGCAGGGCAGGACAGGGCAGGGTAGGGCAGGACAGGACAGGGCAGGACAGGACAGGGCAGGACAGGACAGGGCAGGGCAGGGTAGGACAGGACAGGGCAGGACAGGGCAGGACAGGGCAGGGCAGGACAGGGCAAGGCAGGGTAGGACAGGACAGGACAGGACAGGACAGGACAGGACAGGACAGGGCATGACAGGACAGGGCAGGGCAGGGCAGGGCAGGGCAGGGCGGTGGCAGGGCAGGACAGGGCAGGGCGGTGGCAGGTAACGTCGGGGTGAGAATTGTTTAATTGTTTTGTTGGGTTAGGCCCTTTCGGTCGACAAGACCATTGCAGGGCCGGAAGGATGATAGGAATTAGGGGGAGACATTAGTCTGGGCAGGCACCCTAGAGAGTCACCGGGGCTGAGCCCGTCCAAATGGACAGGCCGACCAGCCCCCCAAGCACTCTCTGCACCCGGCTACGGGGTGCAGCTCCCTCGGGAGCAGCGGTGCCGCTCCAAGGGAGCAGCCCGCATGAGATAAAGTTGCCTGTCCAGCCCGGAGGGGGGTTGCGGTGTTGGGGAGAAGGATTTCAGTATCCTGAGGATAGAAGCACGGAACGGTGGGGGTGAGAATGCATGTCCAAAAGCTTTGAACAATGAATAGCGCAAAGCTGATGTCGAGTATTTGTGTAGTTCTGAGCCGAGATTCCACGGAGGAATGCAGCTGACGTAAAATTGGCGAGGCTCTGGTGCACATTGCAGAACAAGGCGAAAAAGTGAATTGGGTGTATCAAACTTAGCTTGCTTTGTCTTCGTGAGCCGTAAAACATAGTTCGCATTCTGATTACTGTAAAAATAAGTCCATACTTTACATCACGCGAGGAGTTTTGTGTTCATTTGGGCCTTATGAGCAGAAATGCTGACATTGGCTTGAAATTAAGGAGAACAATCCAAGTAATTGGATGCAGAACTGGGCCAGATATTTCACGCGATCTACAGGTTTTCGGCTAATAAGGAGCTAGCATTAACAAGGACCACTACAACAATGTTCAGCTGTAACTTAGAGAGTGACTTTGCTTTCGGGCGAATGAGCAGCACAGCCCTGCGATTAGGAAAGCTAACCGGGTCCGCGCGAGCTCTCTGCGGAAAACTGGCGGCCGGCTGTCGGAGCTGGCGCGGCCGGCCCTTTCCTGTGCGACCAGCACCGAGCGGCCGTCCATTTGAGGCCAGAAAACTACCAGCGCCGCGGATCGGCGCCGGGCGCGTGCAGTGGTTCAACATGCAAGGCGTCTTCGGGGAAGGTGGAGGCACCCTGCCGGCGGCGCGGCGGTGCCGGCGCAGCAGTGCCAGGGTCAGCCGGGTGTCCCCGGACACGGACAAGGCCGGCCGATAGCGAGCGCGCCGGCAATCAGACCGGGGGCGGCGCCACACCAGCCACCCTGACCTTGTTGGTCGGTGGGGCGGCACCGCACGCGCCATCGCACGAACCCGACCGGCACGGGTCCGAGCGGGGCTGACCTTGGACCGGTGGCCGGCGCCGGGCCCTGCAGTCACTTTCTAGCCTGCTGTTGGGGCGCCGCCGCCAGCCGGACCCGGGCCAACCGGGCACGTGATGCAAGCGACACGGATCGGTAAATCAACTTCACTCCGGCACCTCGATCACACCAGCCTTTCCGTTGTGAAACCGCGTTAAACAGACGGCGGTGACAGGGAGGGCAGGCAGCCGGAGCTACCCCGTCACTGAACCGGGGCAGTCGCGCACGCGGATAATCCCCAACTGATTGATGTAAAACGGCTCTTATGTAAGGATTTAGACCAGGCACGAGTTTCTAATGCGGAGCTTATGTAAGAATTAAGCTCGTGCAGAGAGTTGTAATCTGTGCTTTTTCACATAGCGGGCGCGTTTCAGGAAATAAGTCGCCAGCGCGGTAGCTACGATTCGTTGCAGTCTCCGTTATGGTGCTGTGTTTCGTTGCAGTCTCCGGGTTCACCGGAATGCAAGAGGCTATAAAGGATAGGTAAAGTTAGGAGGCCGTTTTCTATTTTTCTGTTTTCTGTGACTAATAACAGAGCTGCAATAGAATACTGGACGGGTTGTGTTTTTATGACAGATTCCAGGGAAGGATCTATATAGCTTCTGGCCATTGTGATACTGAAATTGATAAGAATGAGAAAACAAAACAAAATTCTTCAGTAAATACAAATCAATAAAATTACATAAACTCAACAGATCCAGTAAACCCTTATTAAAGTTGCAGTCTTTTAGAGTGTTACACAATGATAAAATGTTGTTCGCTAGTTTTCATTTCCTTTTCTCCTTCACAATTGTGATGAGCTGGCGTTGCCTCACACAGATCCAATAGCACATAATGAGGGGTAATAAGAAGAAACTTGTAACGCAATGATATTTGTCTCACTTGTTAATCGCCTCGAAATAAATTAACAGGCTTCATATTCATGATCAGAATTTTCTGTTAGAAGACTTTCCTCAGATGGTAAATTATTGAACAGACAAATGACAGACCCTATCGTAGAGGAACAGGTTTCATTTACAGGCTCAATGGGACCCATGTTCCTGTTCAAAGATCTATAAAAGGAAGGTATGAAAACTTTAGAAGGCGTTAAAAAGTAGCCAATTTGTGTGATAAGAATAATGCGGATTATTAGTGGTGCAATGGATTCAATAAAAGAATTTATACACAAGCTTGATTCAACTTCACTCTCAGCTTTCAGGATCACCCGCCTAATCTGGCTTATAAATTACTAGCTATATTTCTACAAGGCGCGTTTTGCAAGAACTTTTGCAGTAAGCACTTGAAAATGAGTTTACTATCTAAAAAGTTGGCGTCTTTCAGAGACGTGAGAAGTGTTTGATAAAGACCATTGAGATCTTAGTGTTTCAAATGATATGTTGTAAACTTATCGGCTAGGAGGTTCATTTTTTGCTCTATTTATTTGTAGCTAGAATCGAGGAAAGCTAGTGTGATAAAGCAGCTAAAAAGGCATAAGCGTTTCGCTCAATGCATCAAGAAGTTCTGATGATCTGGACATCACACCAAGTGCAGGTCACCGTTCTCATCATCCGGCGGACTCTCACACAGCAGCACACGGCTCCACATGTCACGGCGTCGTCACCAGGCGTCACCAGGCGTCACCAAGCGTCCACACACGGGCTCGGCGGCGGCAGCAGCACTTACCTCTCCGTTTCTCCGAGTGAACTGCGCCCGGCGCCGGGCCGGGGCCGGATTTATAGCGGCCGGAATCAGTGGCGCGGTGTGCCGTCAGCGGCAGCCGGCCGGGGCGGAGCCGGCGCGGCGCGACCGGCCCGGGTCACACACCCTGCACACACACACAGAGAGACACAGACAGAGACAGACACACACACTGCACACAGACAGAGAGACACAGACAGAGACAGACACACACTGCACACACAGAGAAACGGACATAGACACAGACAGAGGCAGACAGACACTGGACACAGACACAGAGACGGAAAGACATACAAAGATAGAGACAGAACAACAGTCACACAGACACAAAGACACACACCCTGCACACAGACAGAGATGGACGCGAGTCACACAGACCAACAGACACATAGACAGGGACGGACACAGAGATACGGACATACGCAGGAGAGACCGATATGCGTACAGACTACACATACTCAAGCCATAGACACACACATGCAACTGGAAAAACGCATTTGCAGACACATACGAGCTAGAAATGGCGATCATTTCTGCTCGTACACACACAAGCAGAAATGAACAACCAGACACACGGTAGTGAAAGGAGCACGACATTGAAGACACACGGACGTTCAGTCAGACAAACGCAATTAGGTTACAGTACGACATCGAGCAGTGCACAGGGGCAGAGAAGCAGTCTCGCCGGCGTAACCCGAATCAGAGATCGGCAGCAGACGGTGCCGGCCGGGAGACGGGCCCACTCTGGTGACCTGGTGATGAGGTGGTACACTCGGGGGCAGATTGATGTTCCACAACTCTTTATCCACCGGGTTCCTATGGCTCAGCATTGACAGCAGCCGCCTGGTACCGGTAGACTGTGCCGCTTCACTTACTTGTCAAGCGGCACAGCCTACCCACACCGTATGCCACCGGTCTGGGTCGGTGGCTGAAAGGCGATGTGGGCCGCCTGTGACGTCAGCGCAGCGGTGAGGGCCGAGCCTGGAGGCATGGCTCGGGTCGGCGCGGCGCGGCGGCTGGCGAGGGCTGGGGAGTGAGGTGGGGTGGGAGCACGGACCATCGCGCGGCTGAGCGAGTGTAGTTAACTTTCGCGTCTCAAGGCGCCAATTATTCTACCTAACAATTATGCTAAAGCAGTTGTTAAAATATCCTATCCCAAGACAGCGCCTATCATCATACTTGCCATGCACATTACGACACAAACGTGGCATTGGGACAGCCGATAGAATTTATATCACACGTGCATGGAGTTGCGGAGCTACATTGTTTTTAACAGATAAGTGTTAAGGCCTTGATTGAGCTCATTGGTGTCTATTATTTCGCACAGCAATCGTCCAACTCCAGACACGTGGGAACTGGGGTTTTTGGATAGCGCGGCGTCCCAACTTTAAGCAACTCTTACTGTTCCTCTAATGTGTGGTCGCAGCCACCAATAATAGCAAACCGTTCCATCTAGGAACAAATAAGTCGCGCACCTGGGACGGTTCGAACCGGGTTTCTCCAACCGGTCACCCTACGACGCTAGCGTGTATCCACTGAGCTGCCGAAACCAGCGACCACCCGCCGCGGTCAAACGCGATCAAACGTCAATTGTCACAATACTGTCATTGGTGGTCAGCGGGTGAATGTCATTTTGTTTTGTGCAGAGGAAGACCGCATTCTCGGTAGCTCAGTGGATGAACGCTCGTGTCGTGAATTGGCCGGTGGGAGAAGCCCGGTTCGAACCCCCCTGAGTGGCCGACTTTTTGGCTCCTAGTTGGAACGGTTTGCTAATGGGGGCTGCGACCACATATAAGAGCAACAGTAATAATCGCTTTAAATTGGGGCGTTGGCTGCGGCGCTACTCATAACCCCCAGTTCCCACGTCTCTGGACGATTGCCGTGCGAAACAATAGACACCAATGAGCTCAATCAAGGGCTTAACACTTATCTGTTAAAAACAATGTAGCTCCGCAACTCGATGCACGTGTGATATAAACTCTATCGGCTGTCCCAATGCCACGTTTGTGTCGTAATGTGCATGGCAAGTAGGATGATAGGCGCTGTCTTGGGGATAGGACATTTTAACAACTGCTTTAGCATAATTGTTAGGTAGAATAATTGGCGCCTTGAGACGCGAAAGTTAACTACACTCGCTCAGCCGCGCGATGTCCGTGCTCCCACCCCACCTCACTCCCCAGCCCTCGCCAGCCGCCGCGCCGCGCCGACCCGAGCCATGCCTCCGGGCTCGGCCCTCACCGCTGCGCTGACGTCACAGGCGGCCCACATCACCTTCCAGCCACCGACCCAGACCGGTGGCATACGGGTGGGTAGGCTGTGCCGCTTGACAAGTATGTGAAGCGGCACAGTCTACCGGTACCAGGCGGCTGCTGCCAATGCTGAGCCATAGGAACCCGGTGGATAAAGAGTTGTGGAACATCAATCTGCCCCCGAGTGTACTAGTGACCGCAGCGGTGCTGTATTGCACTAGACGATGACAGAGCTGTCCGCAGCGGCACTAGTGGTACGGTGGCGCTGGTTTACACCAGATAGTAATTGGTACAAGGCTAGTTCCAGTTTGTGATAGACAAACGAAAGGCAAAGCAACTTCACCCTGCCTTTATTCTTTTTTTGGGGGAGTAGCTTCACGTTCAACTCCACTGACGTTCTCGGTCCGCTCTGCACGGGCATCAGGTTCACATATTTGGCTGATGTAAGGTCGATCCCCACAGACGAGTTCTCTCGAGAGAACCGCCACCTGCGGGTTCACAACGGCCCCTTCCCCAGACGAGGAAACAAAACTAGGAAAAAGTAAGGAAGAGAAGGCAAAAAAAAAAATCACGCTGCAAGCTGACGCGCTGGCTGTCCTCTCTCGACTGCCATACGGCGTCTTTCTTCTGCGCTACCCTCCCGCGCCTGCCTCCCCCGCGGCCATGCGCCGACTCCCTCCCTCCCCGCGTCGTAGCTGCCCTCGTTCCACCCCCTTCCCCACTCCCTTCCTCCCTTCGCCGTGTGTCGCTCCCCTGGCCGTCAACATGCCTTAGCGTCTCCGTCGCTAAGGTGGCTGCTGCCGGCCGTAAAGGAGTATGGGATATCAGTCACTTACGTACAATTAAATGCTGTGATATTATAGATTATTGATATTAAAAAATTCAAAACTGAGAACCAGCATCCTAGGTATTTAACCCTCGCCGGCACAGGGTTGTTGATGCAAACCCCCCTAAGGTTTTTCGCGAATAACTCGCGTAGAAAGCGGCCGATCGCGACAAAACTTTCAGTACCCTCGCATTGATCAATTCTACACCTACCATGAAAATTTCATGACCCTGACCCAAATGACCTTTGACC